AGCAGAGGTCCCAGAACAGATCCCTGCGGAACACCACTGGTCACCGTGCTCTAGGTTGAATACTTTCCATCTACTACCACCCTCTGTCTTCTATTGGACAGCCAGTTTTGTATCCAGACAGCCAAATTTTCCTGAATCCCATGCCTCCTTACTTTCTGAATGAACCTACCATGTGGAACCTTATCAAAATGCCTTGCTAAAATCCATTTACACCACATCCACTGCTGTGGCTTCATCAGTGTGTTTTGTCACAACCTGAAAGAATTCAATACGTTTTGTGAGGCATGACTTGTCCCTCACAAAGCCATTATTGGGTCATTATAGCATTGCTGATGGTTAGAGTTTGTTGTACAGAAATTGGCTCCCATGTCTCCTACAATACAGCACTTCAAAAGCACTTAACTAACTGAAACATGGAGGTTGTGAAATCTGTTATATAAATGCAATCTTTTATTTGTCTTAATATCTCCGTATGTGGCTTCGTATCAACCTTTGTTTGGTAATGCTTTACACAGGGGCAATTTGTTATTTTTGTCCACCCTTCAAATTTTTTTTGTCAGAACAAAATTTGTCACGTATTCCCATGAAATTGCATGCTTAAAAATGGATGTCCCCTTATACGAATGATGAAAAATAAGACCACATCCTATCACACACTGAAACAAGACATCAGCAGAATAACCTGCAAAGCCAGAGAGAGGAGTTGACAAAATAAAGTTTTAATATTAAAGTTTTGTTGGTCTAATTCCACAAGAGTGGGAGATACCTTTGCTTTACAAACAACAATTTTTCAATATTTTCACAGAATGTACGTGGCTCTGACAAGGTTGGCATTTACTGCCCATCCCTAAATCCACTTGTTTATTTAAAAATTAAGATCAGTATTGTGTCATTTCCTTTGGCATGGTTTGAATAATTGGACAAAAATGTTTTTGTTGGATCCTTCATGTCATCCGAATAAGTGGGATTTCAGCTAATATTTGGTATTGGAGAAAGCTGAATTAATTCCTAGAAACTGAGGCAATGTTTCATGGTTTCAGAACTCGAGGCAGTTTAATCCATTTGTATATTTATCTGAAAGGTGTTGGAGGGGATTAGCCATCTTTGCATCTATTGTACAGGCAGAAATCAAGGCCAGATACAAAAATTAACCAGCATCTGCTGAGCATGCCAGTGAGGCCCAAAAGTGTCCCGGCTCATATTGCTTAGACAATTCTTTCGGTGTTCCCGATGATCACCCAAAATGAGCAATAGGTCATTTTCATTTACATAATAAATGGACCTCATACCAATTGTTAGAAGATCCCAACAACGAGCAGGCATGAAGTGAGCCAGAATAATTGAAATGAGACGTTTAGTTAGTGGCAGAGCTTTCTGAGAATAGTTGTAAACTTCATGATACAGTGGAGACGGTGGTGAAATGGGCAGAAAGATGGCAGAGACGTGTGAGGTGATACACTTAGGGAGGACTCAACTGGAAAATTAGGACGTTACAAATGGCCTTATTTTGCAAAGTGTAGAGATGTTCACAAAAAAACCCCAAACTCTTACATATGCCAGGGCAAGTGATAGACTGCTTTAAAAATGCCTATGGATTGTTGAGTTTGTAAGTGGAGGTAAGGAAACTAAGTATGGCCAAGGTGGAGAATTAGATCCAATTCTGGCCACCACACCTCAGGAAGGTGTAAAGACCTTAGAAAGGGAACAGAAGGGGTTCACCAGGATATAATCAGGATGAGGGACTTCAATAATGACGAAATGTTAGGACTGTTCTCCTTGAAATAAAGGAGGCTAAGAAGGGACCTGAGCTTGAGAGATTTCCAAATGTGAGATTCTAATAAAACAGAGTGTGCAAAATTATTCAACAACTGGATGTCAGAGATTGTAAATTAACGATAAAAGATCTGGATGGAAGAAAGGGGAAATGTCTTTTTGAATAGGTTGCTGGGATCTGGAATACAGTTTTCCTGAAAAGATGATGTAAGGTAATTCCATAAATCATTTTAAAAGGATGTTGCATGGGCACTTGCAGATTTAACAGAAGCATGGGACCAAGCCTGTCTGCCCACTCATAGACATTTGGACTGAATGGTTTTCTATAAATAGATTCTCTACAGTGCAGAAAGAGGTCATTTGGCCCATTGAATCTGCACCAACCCTCTGAAGAGCATCCCACCCAGAACCACCTCCCCTCACCCTATCCCTGTAAACCCTATTTCCCGTGGCTAACCCATATAACCTACACACTAAGGGGCCAAGCATGGCCAATCCACCTAACCTCCACATATTTGGACTGTGGGAGGAAACTGGAGCACCATGAGGAAACCCACGCAAAACATGCAAAACTCCATCCAGTCACCCAAGACTGGAATTGAACCCGGCACTGTGAGGCAGCAGTGCTAACCGCTGAGCCACCGTGCTCTATGACTGTTAAAAAAAGTCCTGGACCTCATCTCTCCTGTTTTGTAATGCATTTAATTATTTTGCACTGAAGATTAATATGAACATTCTTCAGGCAAAATATATTGATTGTGAAAGGGAATGCAGTGAACTTCAAATGATAAAATATAATTTGTTGTCAATGTGAAACTGTTAAGTAATTTAGGCTGTCGGGACATGGCTTTGTTCTGTTGTGGGATCCAAATTCATCTCACGCGAGTGGGGGTGTTAATTTTGCAAACAACCGAAGCTACATTGAGGTGAATGCTTCAAAGAGCATTTCTCAGCCGGAGCATCAATAACTTATATTTTTAAAAAAAAACCAAAGGACTGTGGATGCTGGAAGTCAGAACCAAAAACAGAAATTGCTGGGAAAACTCAGTAGCACTGGCAGCACCTGTAAAAGAAAGCAGAGTTAATGTTTTGAGTCCATTGACCCTTCTTCAGAACTGATTGTATAGAGTTAAAGTGTTGGGACACTATCTCTGCACCACAACAGCACTCTCATGCATGAAAGAAAAACTAACTTGAAACAGCTGGCCTTGCTTGAAGTTGAGAAAATATGTAAGTGAGAATCTAGTAGATGTGATTCAATCATAGGCCTTCCCTGCTGCTTTGCTACAGCACATCTCCATACAAAAACAGCCAACTGGATGTAAATCTAACTTCTAAAATCAAATTTTATAGAAAATCTACTGAATGAATTAAAATACTGTTTTAAGCTGCAATGTTCATTTAAAAGAAATCAGTGATTATGAAATTCTTCTATTTTGTAATGTATTATTTATAAGTTTGAATATTCACATAGAATATAGCATGACTATTTCAGTCATAATCTCATTATCAATTGGGTTTGGTGAGTGAGTTAGTGTATTTGTATATTAGCACCCCCAAAACAATCAATTAAATTGCTTTGAAATTGATCCCTAAGAACATATTATTTTTCAAAGATTTTGTCTGGAGCTGTGATTTTTTTCAGTGTTGTGTTAAGCCTTGCAGTATTTGTTTCAAGTGAAGGTTTTTTTAGACTTTTAAGGCATCATTCTAGTAATTGAAACATTTTTTATGAAGAGGTTCTAGCCGAGTTGAGTTAACTGGATGCTGGAAATCAGAAACAAAAACAGAAATTGCTGGTAAAGCTCAGCAGATCTGGCAGCATCTGTGGAGAGAAAGCAGTGACCCTTCCTCAGAACTGATTGTAGTTGTTAAAAGTTGTCCTCAGTAAGTTCTCTACTTGAACTTGTTTCTTTTATTGTGAGAATGAACAGCAGAATTTTCATGATAATATGCTAAAGCCATGAGGTACCTATTTTCGAACAGTTCTTTGTCCTTTTGATTGTTAAGAATCAGGAACAAAGAGCTAAAAGTAGCACTGTGCTGTTAAAACAACATAATTTCCCCTGTGTCATTTGTGGCTCAGTGTTCCATTTTAGGTCAGAAAGTTGCAGGAAACTCCAGAAGGTTAAGCTCAATATCCAGGCTGGCACTTCTTTCACAGAATCCCTACAGTGTGGAAACAGGCCCTTTGGCCCAACAAGTCCACACTGACCCTCAGAGCATCCCACCCAGACCCATCCCCTGTAACCCACCTAATCTACACATCTCTGAACACTACGGGCAATTTAGCATGGCCAATACACCTAGCCTGCACATCTTTGGACTGTGGGAGGAAACCAGAGCACCCAGAGGAAACCGACACAGACACAGGGAGAATGTGCAAACTCCACACAGTCACCCGAGGGTGGAATCAAACCCTGGTCCCTGGTGCTGTGAGGCAGCAGTGCTAACCACTGAGCCACCGTGCCGCTGTGTTTTTTTTTCGCACAGTGGATTAGTAGTCCATCGCCTTAACCTCTCGGCCACCTCATCCCACATCCTGGTGTGACGTTGAGGGAGTGTTGAGTGTCCAATGAGATGTTAAACCAAGCCCCATCAATCCTCTCTAGTGGATGTTAAGGATTCCATAGCACTTATAGATCCCCTATTCCAAAGAAGAGCTGGGGAGGTATCCATGATGTTCTACCTAATCCTCACCTAGTTTCTCACAAAATGTAAATTGTCTGATCAGTTATGTGGCTGTTTGTGGGGTCCTGCTGTGCCTAAATCAGCACTGTTTTTCATACAATGCAATAGAGACTATATTTCCAATGTACTTCTTTAGCTGTAATAAAGTATTTTGGAACTTCTTGAGGTCATGAAAATTATTATGTAAATGAAGTATATCTCTTTCTCTTTCTTTCTCACCCCCTCTTTCTTTCTCACCCGCTCTCTTTTTTCTTTCTCCCTTTCTGCTCTCTTTCAAAAGTGTACGTATGTTAAGCAGATCTCACTGGAGGTAGCATTTGAACTAAGATTTTGAGATGTAAATCTGTTCGACTGTGACCCTTTCTGCTGAAAAGTAAATTATGGGAGGCCACTGCGGTAGTAGTGCTCTAAGGAACAGTAGGTGTTTTTGTGCAGTAAAGCATATCTGAACTAATCTACTGCAGCTGTTATTGCAAATTGTTCACTTTAGTTTTCTTTCTCCTTTTCCCCCCTTGTTGCTTGTCTCTCACAAACAGCTCACTGTGCTGAGAAATGTGTCCATGGAAGATGCATCGCTCCCAACACCTGTCAGTGCGAACCAGGCTGGGGAGGCCTAAATTGTTCCAGTGGTAAGATCTCACCTGCTTATGTCCATTTTGTTTGTTTTCATTGCACACTTGTTACTGCAGCCAGTTTTATCAGAAGCATTCTTCAATGCACAAAATAATTCTGATATTTACTTTTGAAATGTAGACATGCTTAATTAAAAAGAAGATTATAAATAGAGGCTATAAGAATAGGTTCTATGTTACTACAACAACTGCTGGGAGGAACTAGCCTTTACTCTGTCTTCTATTACATCTTATTTTACTCTCTGTCTTCATGCCATCATCACAGTGGGTGATGCTTACAATCAAGTATTAACCCTTTCAGACCCATATGTAACATTTCCCCAAAACTTTTCTCTGCTCACCATTGTTGTTGTACGTCTGTTTTACTAATTATATTTGCAACTATCCCATCTCCCTGTTGGTATTTATAAATTCTGATGATCTGGAGATTTCATTGTTCTCCACAAACATGCTCTGTTAGGATGTGAAAAAGTAGTAGTTAGTTAGGTAGAAGCAATTGTCTTGGACTGTCTTCCTGATGTTCTGGAGTCTAAAGTTCTCTTCTGAACAAGAGGAAATTTTATCTTTTGTACTTCTTTCATGGAGGGCACATCCCTGCTTAGAGTAGGCACTTCTTTGTTGCACTATCTTGAATCTTTGGACATTCCTTGTCTCTTCTTAGTGATGTTGGACTGTGACTCCAAACAGTGTGCTGGGAAATGGGTGAGTAAGGAAATCTTAACCTCTTCCACAAAATTGAATTTTGTTTGTATTTTATATTTAATATTTAACTGTAATTTGCTGTTTAATACCTAAATTTCATCCAGGCTTAAAAAGTGACATACAAGCTCCCAATTTGTGAACATCTAAAATTAATTAATTGAGAAAGCCAGCTTAAATCATTGTTCTGTACTTGAGTCTGAACTAATGCAGTGTATTAACAGAGGCATTGCAAGAGTGAACATAACCCAGGGGTCAATTGATCTGCTAATTTCATTAACACTAGAAAGCAGTGTTTGCTAGTCTAGTGTTTACAACTGCTTATCTGTCTATGTGGCACAATTGGTCAGTACACTCAGCTGTTACCTGAAAGGCTGATGGTTTGAGACATCTAGAGATAATGGCTTCTTCCCACCAGTGTTAATTTTGGATACGCTTGTGCGTCAGTAATAGTGTCTCTACCTCTGAGCGAGGAGTTCGGAATTCAAGTCCCACCTGCTGAAGAAACTCCTCAGAATGGGTTGATTAGAAAATACCCATAAATAGAGGCATCTCAGTCAGAAACAGCGACTACAGGAAAAGAAACTGTTTATTAAGGTGTATTCTATTCCTGAGGTTTTAAATTTCTTTTATTCATTCACAGGACAAGGGCATCACTAGTTAGGCCAGCATTTATTGCCTAGAGGGCAGTTAAGAGTCAATCACAATGCCGTGAGTCTAGAATCACATGTAGGCCAGACCAGGTAAGGATGGCAGTTTCCTTCCCTAATGAACATTAGTGAACCAGATGGGTTTTCTCACTTTGGATTCATGGTCATCATGGTCATTTAGAGTCTTAATTCTGGATTTTTAGTTAATTCAAATTCCACCATCTGCCACATGGGATTTGAACCCAGGACTCCAGAACAATATCTTGTTCTCTGGATTAGATTTAAGAGTGTAACTCCTTTATTCAAAAAGGGAGGGAGATAGAAATAGGAAACTGCAGACCAGCTAGCTTAACATCTGTCATAAGATGTTAATGTGTTGAAGGTTCGTAATATATTATTATTACTTGAGAACTTTGGTTCTAAAATGGAGGAAATACAGCTTTTACTTGACAGTTCCAGCAAGGTCTGGCTCTTTGTAACAATGTCAGAAAGTAATTTTGAGCAGTGAATTCAAATAGCAATTACAGAATGTTGTCTAATTTAAAATGATTGACTAGAAAGCCACACAGGAAGATCACTGCTACCTGGAGTGTTACCATCACAGAGACAGAGAGGGACAGAAGCAGTTTCATACCGGGAGGAGGTCCATAACAATGCAGATGACTGTTATTAGCAGTGATAATACCACTAGGCTGTTGCCTCCCATTGTTGTAACTGGTGGTTAGGTTAATAAAGTAAATGAAACAGCAAAATAATTAGTTTACTAAAGTAATTAAGCTATTAAGTAGAACATATTATTAAGGATGGCAGAACAGGTGATATCTTACACTGCAGATCCAGGGCCAACACATCTGCAGTAAGTGTTTGTGGCTTGAAGTGCTTTGGTTCAAAGTTTATGAACTGATCAGTAGGCACCGTGATGCATCAGGAAAGGAGAAAGTTACCTGGATATGTTGTACCAGGAAACAGTCACAGCTGGCTTCCCCCAGTCTTTCTTTGGGCTGATGAACTATTACAGAAAGTTCATACATAACCTAGCCTCCATCCTGGCACCTTTGCATTAACTCTTAAATAGGGGTCAGCCTTGGAAATGGTCATGTAGCCGAGCCAATAGTTTTCAGGGCAGTAAAGAAACAGCTATCATCCTCTAAGGTGATGGCACACTCTGATCCCAAGCAAGATCCAGTATTGACATGTGATGCCTCACCGTACGGCATCAGGGTAGTATTAGCTCATAGATGACCCAATGGAGAGAAAAGCCCAATAGTGCATGCATCCAGGACTTTGGCTAATGCAGAGCGAAGATGAAGGTTTGGCAGCCATATTGGGGAGTCAGGAAGTTCCACCAATACCTTTACACAGGTAAGTTTGTAATATAACAGACCACAAATCCCTGTCAGGTCTACTTAAAGAGGACAAGGACATGCTGCGCATTGCTTCAGGCTGAACACTATGTGCATATAATTAGAAAGAGGAACCCTCTCCAGGAGGCCAAGTAGCCAATGCAGGTGCATTGAGCTGCCTCCCACTGGCAGATAGACCACTGGTGGTACCGCCACTGGAAGAGCCCATAATGGTTTTAAATTTTCTGGACATGCTTCCAATCAAAGCTGACAATATCCAACTTTGGACACAGAAAGATCTGGTCCTGGCAAAACTGAAGAAGCTTGGTGGCAATGGGGTATAGCAAAGGGCCGTCACAGCCAGAATTGAAACCTTTTTGGACCTGGAGAGACCAGATCACAGCAGAGGACAGCATATTATTAATGGAAGCAAGAGTGATTGTCCCAAGCAAAGGTCACCACTACGTACTGGCTGAACTCCAGGGTCATACCAGTGGTGTCCAAAATGAAGATGTTGCCGGGAAGTTATGCCTGGTGGCTGCAACTGGATGCAGACATAGCTGAGTTGGTGCCACAATGCCCAGATTGCCAACATGAACAAAAATTACTGCTCGCAGTTCCCCCACATTCATGGGAATAGCCAGGTAAACCCTGGACTGGGTTATACATTGGCAATGCAGGTCCTTTCATGAGCCCAATGTTCTTCATCATTGTGAATGCTCACTCAAAATGGCTGACGTGCATAGACTTCATTTGTCAAACACAGGGATGATAATAGAAAAACTGTGCGCATCTTTTGCAATACATGGACTCCCAGAAGAATTGGTCACGGATAATGGGCCATCGTTTACCAGCAAGTAATTTGAGTATTTACTAAAATTGAATGGTATTCAACATATTAGGACAGCTCCTTACCATCCATCAACCAATAGTCTGGCAGAAAGAGCAGTCCAAACTTTGAAGGCAGACTTAAAGAAACAGCCTACACATTCAGCAGATACCAAACTGTCCCAGTTCCTATTTGATTGTAGGACCACCCCTCATGCAACTACAGGGATAGCTCCAGCAGAATTGCTAATGGAGAGAAGACTCAGCACCAGGTTAAATCTTTCTGGATCTTGGGGTGAGGGTGAAATGGTATCAGGAAAGCCAATGCCGGACACAGGACTCTGCTATGAGAGGGAGCCAGTTTACTTCAGAGGATGAAATTTGATGTAGGAGCCATGGGAATGGCCCTGACTGGGTAAGAAGCATGGTTGACATGAGGTCAGGTACATTGATGTCAAAGTTTGGGTTGATAAGGTGGTCCTGTACAAGCATGTGGATGAAAGGAAAGCTGCAAAGTTGCATACTGTGCAGGAGCAAAACTACAGCCTTGCCAATAGTTCCAGAACCCTTGGGTTCTCCTTCTCTGTCAAGCATTGAAGATACCTCGGAAATTGGGATGGGTACAGCAGGTGTCACTGCCTTGATTCGTTTGCCGCATGAAGAAGAGAATGAATCTCTTTCGGATGCAAGAGGTGAGCTACTATGTGTTACACGCTATCAGAGGCACAGTTGGAGGAACCTGAGCCAGTGCTAAAACGGCCCAGGAGATGCTACGATAATAAAAGAACCAGCCATTGTGCTCGCATGCGGGTTGGGGAGGGATGTAATGATTGTAATGAGGTCAGCCAGGTGGACCTTATAGAATGTGAGTTCCCTGATTGGGGCTGTTAGTCTGGGAGCCCTGGCTGACCGGTATAAACAGGCGTTTCAAAGATTCTGCTTACTCTGAGAGCTGGCTGTGAGGAATTGGGATCAGTGTCAAAGACTCTCCATGTGTAAATAAAGGGTGACTTGGTGATGGTATGCCGGCCTCTGTGGAGTTATTTCAGTGTCAGATATAAAGAAAAAGCATTTAATTGCGCAAAGTTCGGTGGCAGGTCAATAGATTGGACAGAATACAAAAACTGCAAAGATTAACTAAAAGATTAATAAAGTGGGAATAATTAGAGTACGGGAGAAAGCTAGCCAGAAATATAATAATAGATGGTAAGAATTTCTTGAGATATTTGAAAAAGAAAAGGGATAATAATGTGAGCATTAGTCCAATCAAGAGTGAGTCTGGGGAATTAATAATGCAAAATGAGAAAATGGCAGATGAGTTGAAGAGATATTTTGCATAGGTCTTCACTATCAAGGATATCTGTAGCATCCCTGAAATAACTGTAAATTAGGAATTGGAAGATAGGGAGTAATCAAAAGGTAATTACAATTATCAGGAAAGTGGTACTGAGCAATTGCTAGGGTCCTGATAAACTTC